TGAATGTACCAAAGGAAAATAGAAGAAAATTTGACACAAAGAGCAAAAAGGTTATTTTCGTAGGTTATGATGGAGAGTCCTCGAACTATAGACTGTGGGATAATGAGAATCATAAAGTTTATATTAGCAGCGATGTAGACTTTAATGAAAATAATATTTATTCTGAAAATTCCGATAAAAATAAAACTTTTGAAATGGATATTGATTTTAATATTGATCAACAATCAGAAGATATTGAAAATGTTCCTATCAATGAAGATCCTTTGCAACAAATTAATGCAGAAGCACCTGTGGAAGAAAATGGAGAGCATCACAGAAGACAATTACGAGATCGAAGTCAAATACAAGCACCAGATCGATATGGAGTACCAGTTGCTTATTTCGCCGATACAATTCCTATGTCTTATCATGAAGCTATTGCAAGTGATAATGTACTAAATTGGAAGACAGCAATGGATGAGGAAATTCAAGCACTTGAAGAAAATAAGACATGGGTGTTGACTGAACTTCCACGAGGTAAACGTGCAATTGGTTGCAAGTGGGTTTACGCTACAAAAACGGATTCTTATGGAAATATCAAGAGATACAAAGCCAGGTTGGTAGCAAAAGGTTTTTCTCAACGTGAAGGCATTGATTACTTTGAAACGTTTTCACCGGTAGTCAGATATGAATCCATAAGAATACTTTTAGCAATTGCAGCAGATCGAGATTATGAAATAAAGAAATTTGACGTTAAGACAGCCTTCCTGTATGGTGAACTCGAAGAAGAAATTTATCTACAACAGCCTCCTGGATACATCAAAGAAGATGATAGTGATTCTGTTTACAAACTCCAACGAAGCTTATATGGTTTAAAGCAATCTCCAAGATGTTGGAATAAAAAGTTTGTTAATTTTCTCCAAAGATTTGACTTCAACAATATTGAAAGTGATAAGTGTGTTTTTGTAGGAAAAGTAGAAGGATTCACCGTGTATTTAGCTCTTTATGTGGATGATGGCCTTTTAATATGTGAAAACATGTGTGCAATAAATGAAGTGCTTAACGTTTTGAAAAATTATTTCAAAATTACTGTTGATGATGCGTGTGATTTTGTAGGCTTAGAAATAGAGCGAGATCGTAAAAATAAGTCTTTGAAAATTACTCAAAAAGGTTATATTAGAAAAATTTTAGAGAAGTTTAATATGAAGGATGCAAAATGTAGTAGTATACCTGCTGAGCCGGGTTTATACCTTTGTAAACCGACCATAAATAAAGACGACACTGAATTTGCGATTATTCCTTACCGCGAAGTAATAGGGTCTCTTTTATTTGCAGCTAGACTTAGTCGACCTGACATTGAATTTGCTGTTAATTATGCCAGCCAATTTCTTGATTGTTACGGTAAACAACATTGGGAATTTATAAAGAAAATTTTGCGTTACTTGAAAGGAACAATAAACTATGGTATAATATTTGGAAACAGTGGGAGCTTAGGTTCGTTAATTGGTTATACTGATTCTGACTATGCTGGGTGCCTTGATACACGAAAATCAAGAAGTGGCTTTGTTTTTATGTTGAATGGAGCACCTGTATCGTGGTCTAGTAAGCGTCAAAGTATAGTTTCTTTGTCTACGGCAGAATCTGAGTATGTAGCCTTATGTTATGGTTCAAAAGAAGCAGTTTGGTTGCGTTGTTTTTTAAACGAATTAAATGTAAAATGTGAAACAGTAAAAATTCTTGTTGACAATCAAGCAGCTATAAAATTGTCGGCGAATTCCGAACATCATAAACGAACAAAACACATTGATGTACGTTTTCATTTCATACGCGATATGATTGATAAGAAACAAATTGAAATTGAATATGTTCAATCGAAAGATCAACTAGCTGACATATTTACTAAACCAATAGCAAAACAGCAATTTTGTTTCTTAAGAACACAATTACGTATATCAGGTCATTAAAAATAAGTGGGAGTGTTGAAAATAATATTTCTATGTATTTTGAATATTGTGTTCTCCTTCATTTTCACTGGTTACCTATTAGCAATGTTGTAGCTGAGGAACCGTATTTTTATTACTCTTGCCACCCTCAAGATCCAGGTATGATTTGTAATTTAGTCTTTAAGAAACCTTCAGCTGAGTAACTGCGTTACTAAAGTTTCTTGTTTAAATCTGTGTACAAATTGTCACGAATACTTTTATATTTAAATAAATCTTACATATTTATTTAACCAATTTATAGTGTTTTATTCTGTGGAAAATATAACCCAACATATATATATAATGCATTGTTTCTACGTGCGCAAATTCTGATTCTCTAGTGTAAACGAGAAACAATGTAAAAAAACGAGTGGAAGTCCTGACAACTGTGGCATAAAAGTAGATCGTATTCTTTCCCGAGATTTCAAATCTTTTGTTACATTTTGCGCGCCTTTCATGATGTTTAAAAAAAAAGAGAAAAAAAAGATCACGGTCATTCATAATACACGAAGCTTCCATTAGAAAAGACACAAAACTCTCTCGAGTCGTAAATGAAATGGTTTTGCAACGTCAAGACGACGAAAATAAAAACCGAACCCCGCTTAAAAAGCTTCCTTTTTTATTATTATTATTTTTTTTTTTAATGAATACCTCGGTTGGGAATAAAAAGGGAAAATAGAATTATTATATTTTCTTGTTTATATGTTTTCTGAAAAAAAAATTGTGTCACTGCGAATAATCGTTTTTCATCAAAATTACTATTGTCCACATTACTTTTGTTGTTGGTGTTGTTGTTGTTGTACGTGTGAAACGCGCAAACAGAAGAGAAAGAATATTTCTTTTATAGTTTTTATTCCATCAGCTACTGGAAAATTGGTTCCAAAATATATGTCTTTTGTATAGAACAAATTTCAATTTTTTTTTTTGCTTTTGCTCGATCGGTACTGCCAAATTAAATAGTAGCGCTAAATTTGAAAAAAAATTATGAAAGTAATTAATATTTCGATGGATAATAAATCATATTTTTTACTTAAAAATTACTAAATATTCGTACTGGTAAAGAAAATCTTTCTGAAATATTAGAAAAATTAATTGTAATTCAAAATCACTTTATAAATGATGCCAACCAACAAATTTGAAATTCCGATCAACTTTATTTTCTCTCTAAATCTGAATTAGTAAAAATGTTTACTAATTTGAATTAGTGACTCACGTTTTGCTTCTCAATTAGTAAAATTTTACTAATTATTAATAACTTTTACTAACAGTTAGTAAAATTTAACTAATTTTAAAGCAAAAAGTGAGTCACTAATTTAAAAATTAGTAAACATTTTTACTAATTCAGATTTAGAGAGTTGAGTAACATGAAGTTTGTCGCTTACTCATAATTCAATATATCCAACTCAAAATGAGTCAAAGTTTTTTCAGTGGCAACAAAATTATTCGCTATTAAACTTCTTTTTCTCCGTGTATAGAAAAGAGAAAGAAAATAATTTTTAAAAATTAAATTGTAATTTTTTCCAAATGAAAATAAGACTTCTGAGAAAACTATAGGGATATTTTCTCGAAATATCATAATATATAGTGTGTAGAACAACTAAAGTGAAGAAAGGGCAATGGGAAGTGGAATGGAAAGCAAGAAGAGAGGGGGAGTTGGACGATTTTGATTTTAGAGACGTTGTATACGGGCACCGACGACGTCGTAGGCTTTTGTTACGTTCGACGGTACTTCCTTTGTTTCTATTGTTTCACAACATGGTACAGGAGTCTGGGTAACGTTTCTGTACACAGTAGTATAGTTGAGTTCTCTCTGTTCTGTGTTCTGTTCCGTTACGTTGAGACGCGAGTTTCAGGTTGGTTCCGCTCGTCGCTAGATGCCAGACTTCTCGCTTTTGTTTTCAGCGCTTCACAACAAGTGGTAATTAATTCTTGGGGAAACAATCGGTCCACGGAACTCACGGTGCCTGTTTGCCACTACTACTATGGTCTCTTCGTCCAACCTCAACTTATACGTACACCGAATTCATACACCTAAATTTACAAAAACTTTTATTTTTTTCTTCCAAATTCTTCTTATCAAGAAGAAAAAATTATTATACTTTTTTTGTATTGTAGTTTTTTTTTTTATTTTTTTTTTTTTTTAATAATTTTTAAAAGTCACCAAGGAGAAGCGTGAATAGTAAAGAATGATGATTTGTGAACAAGTGTTTTTTGTTCATTGGAAGAAAAGGGTGATATGGGGACACAAAATACAAGTCTAATGAGAATTTCACTATAAATTAATGTCTTCATACATATGAAAGTACTTTTTTTTTGCCTGCTCCTGTGTCTCTGATCCCTTTTTTCGTCTCTTGTCTGCTACTTAACCTCGTCACGACCCTTCTTTGTTTGCCCTTTGGGACCGCGCGTTGCAGAACAAAAACCTGCCCACAATGGAAAAAGAAGCGAGATACCTTCAAATATTTTGAATGCTTGAATCTGTAATTACTAAATGCCTTTGGCAATTTACGAGATTAAATCCCACGAGCATATTTAAGTTAATTGAAAATGCACTTTTTTTTTTTTTTTTTTTTTTTAAAAAAAAACCCTTCGCAAATTTTAAAACAACAAAAAAATATTAGAATTTTTTCTTTCGTCTTCTAAGAAAAGATCTTATTATGTAGAAAAAAATACTATTGTAATTTGTGGTACAAAATTGAACAATATATTTTGAAACTTTTGAAGTTCTTATTTATACAATTTATATACATGAATATTGAATAACAAGAGAATTTGTGCGGCAGTTTACACTTTATTAAGGCGTCAAAGTGTGAAAAAGAAAATTTTCCACTCGCGCTGTAATGACGTGCTATTGTTTCGAGAAAACGTATAAATAAAGACTATATATACATAGAATTCAAATAAAAGAAGGGTGTTAAAAAGAAGAAAAATTAAAGAGTTGTTCTCTATAAAAAAAGACTATATTTCAATATCCATATGCAAAGAGAATATAACCATTTTTTTTTTGTTTTAATTTGGCATATCTTTTTTGTTGCGCAGGCGCTGAATGGAAACTGTTATCCGAAGATGACAAGCGACCTTTTATCGACGAGGCAAAGAGGTTACGAGCCATGCACATGAAGGAGCATCCGGATTACAAGTATCGACCCAGAAGAAAGCCAAAGACTCTTAGGAAAGAAGGCTACCCCTACAGCATCCCTTATCCCAGTGTGCCAATGGATGCACTCAGAGCCGGTGAGTCTTTTCAAAAAATGATATTAATATCGTTTATATACATATATACTTCCTCTATAATACAAAATAAAAACTTGTTTTTGTTGGGTAATTTTTATACGCACAAGAGGCACTTGAAAGTCCTTTTCTCAAAATAAAATTGAACCAAAAGACCTGAACAGATTGGAGAAGTACGAGAAAGAATAAGTGTACAACAAATGGTTCTTTGAGTGTGCATCAAAAAAAAGAGGTCATAATTTTTCAAGGAGCGCATTATAAACTCGTTTAGAGTGAAATTTTGAATCAATTATAAATAGCCAAAAAAAAAAAAAACCTGTTTCAAATTCATAACCAGCTTTGAAAAAAATTATATTAATTAACAATCAGTTATTTCTATGTTTTTTCTTGTTAGACTACACAAATTTAATGATGAACTTTTAAAATTGTCTTCTTTTCACTGATTTAACACTTTTTGAAACGGATCCATTTCTAAAGAATATAAGTCTTTTGTGTGAAATTATCAACAAAAGAAAACAATGAGGATGTAACTTTTTTTAAATAGAAAATGAGTAAATTTATCACAATTTGAGATTTTCTTTTATTATATATATATTTATATATACATCTATAGGGGGATATATTACGATTTGAGTTTGACAAAGATATAAAAGTATAAAAGAAACCCCTTTTGGTTAAAAAAAAAAAAATAATAATAATAAAAGAAAAAAAGAAAGACGAGGATTATAAGCCTGACTAACGAGTAAAACCTGAACTATCTCAAACGAACAACGGACACGGGAAACGTTCGTTTGCAGAAGCGAAATGCTTTGATATTCATATTGGACGGCATTTCACACACCAGATTCTTTCTACATGTGGTAGTTAAATTCTCTTCGGACATTTGAAAGTTTTATAGTGACAGTCCTTGCCATTCTTTATCTTTTACTAAACGACATGTGTTCCATAGAAAAACCACATAAAAAAAAAAATTAAATTCAATCCACTATTTATTTCTTCATTTCCCATATAGTAGTATAAAACTCGTCAAATTATCTCTCTATACATTCGTCGATTTTCTATAAAAATTTCCATTCAATCAAAAATATTGAGAATTCTTCAAGAAAAATAAATAAATAAATAAACCAAGTGTTTTTATGTCTCAAGGATATGATTTTGATAAGAAAATCCAACTTTAGTCTTTATCATTATACGATGAATGTCACCTTTGAGGAAATAACATTTGATAAATTCGAAATAATCAAGTGGCACGTGTTGCAGTTTCTGTTTATTTGTATATATTATAAATATAAACATGTTTATCTAATTTCTGAACAATTGCTCATACATAGTTTCAAAATTTATTTCTATATATATATATATGTGTGTGTGATTATTATTATTATTCCCTTATAGTTATATTTATTTGGTAATCTGTAATTTATCGATGAATTCCGTATATACTTTCACGACTATAGAGAAGTATTATTCGATATAGAATGGCAAAATATTCACGTGGGCGCGAGTTGCATAAATTGTGAGATTAATGATCATAATGTGATTTGAACACGTGAGGGGAAATTGATTATTCTTCTCCGGACGATGTCGATAATATACACCTACGAAGAGAGCGCGCGCGACAATATATATATATATTCACTTTTATTATTTTCCACATTTACCGCAAACAAACTAGACACAACATTTAAAAAAAAAAACTGCCTCAATTACATTCTAACAAGCATTTCAATATATATTCACATAAATTTTATTTTATCTTTATAATACTTTTGCCTTTATTTCTCTGTGAAATTTTATATTTTTTACTTGTCAATTTTTATATTCATTGATTTTATTTCATTTTTCAGTATACCAATTGAATTAATACATTTTGTCATTTCACACTCAACATTTTCTAATTTACAAGAGAACTTTATTCAAAACAAAAAAAAAAAAAAGTATTAAAAGCTACAATCTCATTAATGTAACTTTAAATTAGAAAATATTGAATATAACATCAAAATACTATCAAATCATATATTATTTCAATATTCAGATATTTTCATTATTTCCAATTATTTGAATTGAAAAGGAAATAAAAAAAAAAAAAAATTGATACATACATGTTTCCTGAATGTATATATATGCTAAAAAAAGTATATGTCAAGCATTTTATGTGATCGACTTATATAATATGTATAATGGAACCATGTCATGTGGTTGAAAGTTTTTAATTAATTTTAACATGCGTAAAAATGGTTATTCACTGTATGGCATATATGAAGAAATTACGTGACTACTTGTATATTTTATATATAAAATTATAAGGCGCAACTTTACGGGACAAAAGCTAGTAGATTCTCGAATATACAAATATCCTATTAAGACAATTCGATAAATAATGAGCTTCAGACAAGTTTATGCTTGCGTGCATACAAACGATGAATCTCTGAGAGCAACTTGGCGAAGATAATTTCCTAGACAATTTATCTCACGACCCTCTTCGCGCAACATCAGAACATTTTGATCTTAAAATAACGCCATTTGCATACATATATACGCAAATCTGAATTATATTTAAATTCAATAAATTTTACGATTTTGTAATTTAAAGAAGAAAAAAAAAACGCTTTCGCCTTCAATTTTGAAATCAAGAAAATTAATTGACAGCCTTGTATGATTGTGTATAATTTACGATATAATGCAAATATATGCGTATTTCCCTGTTTTTTTTTTTGTGATAAATAATAAATAAAACGATAATTTTGGAAAATATCTATATTACTAATAATATATAATAATTTCGTTCAAGAAAAGGGTTAAATTTTTTTCTATATCGATGGAGATTTCTTTATTAAACACTTGATATAAAATAAGTTGACGAGGCCGGAAAAAGAGTTCGTTTTGGTTTATCGGTTTTGACAGAGGTCTATTGAAAACGTTAATAGCAGCCAAGCCCCTGAAAGTGAGATTCAAGTTTACGTAAGCCCAGAATGAAGTGAAAACAATGAAAACAATAGACATGGAACGTCAAACAAAATCTATGTAAACTAAAGGGGACTGACAACGTGTGCGGAACTAGACCGATTCATCCAACATCTGTTCACGTAATCCAACATGTTAGACAAATTCGTAATAGATAAGGTGCGTTTGTGATTCAACAGATGCGCACTCTCACACTCTTCTTCTGTGTCTTCATAGAAAAATTAATAAAAAAAATTTATATTCAATTTCTCTTAATCTCCAATTAATTTAATTAACACGTTTCAAAAAAAAAAAGGTGAAACACCTTCCAAAAAATTACAAAATATTCTCCAAAAAGAGGGCATTTTCATCTCTTTGTATTATATCATCTAAATATCTCATTGAATTATTATCTTTAGACAAAAATGTCATTTGCAGATGTTAAGAAATTAAAATTTTATTTTCTTTAAAAAAAAAAAAATTATTCTCTCAAAAATTTTCTGTAGAATCGCACCCACCCAGAAAATTATTTCTTTGATATAGTGTCAAAGAAATTTTTTCTTTAATTTAAAGAAAATTTATTTGATTTAAAAAAAATTTGTGTAATTTAAAGCGATATACTCTTTTAATTTTAAACAAAGTTTTATTAAGAATAAAAACTTTTTTCTTTAAATTAAAGAAAACATTTTTTTTGTACCCTATATTAAAGAAATACTTCTTTGATTCAAAGAAACATTTTTCTGGGTGCCTAAATATACAATATATGTAGAGATATCCACGAGAGAAGGGACTTAAAAAATTTTAGGTTAAGTTTACTAACGCAGTTTACCTTCATAACAAGGTAAATGAAAAAAAATTTTGATAACAAAATCAGAAAAATAACCTAAAATTTTTTTGACATAAGGTCCCTTGTCTCGTGGAGCGTATAGAAAATATTTATTGAACCTAATTAAAAATCTATTGAAATACTTGTACAATTTCTGGACCCATTGAACAATTTCATATATATATATATATATATATATATATACATATGAGGAGCTGGAAAGTAAAACTCGCTCTCCGCTCGGATGGACTCCGTAGAGCCAGTCAAACATTTGAAAAAGTGATGAAAATTGAAATTAAAAATTTTGAATTTTGAAAAGTACTACATTATAGGAAATTAAAAGGCGCATCTTTTTTTCCTTTGAAATTTTTTTATAAAACGAATATTTTAGTTTCTAGAGACCAAAAACTGAGAAATTTAAATTGTTAAATTTAATTAAGTTTTAAAACATAAATCATCGTATCTCCGACAATTATTAATGAATTTGATTCAAATTTGAGATGTACACGTAATAGGGTCTACTAAAGGCGACAAAATAATGAAAAATTAAAAAATCATTAATTGTTTAAATTTTTTTTAATAAAAATTGTGACCAGTTGATAATAACGTTTTCTTACTTTCATCGACAAAAAGTCTGCGGGGAACTTTTTAGTTTAGAAAACTTCCAGTGAGACATTTGTTTATTACTATATAAGGAAGTTTTCTGTAAAATATTAAACCAATTCATTGAAAACTTTAAAAATTATTCAAGTTTTAAGAAAGCGCGGTCGACGCGCAAGTAAGTCCTAACGCTATTCGTACAGACAGCTGTTCCGTGCATGAAATATAATTAGATTTTCACATTAAAGTATAAATTTCTTTATTATTATTATTATTATTATTATTATTATTATTATTGCCTATTCAGAATTAAAGTTTGTTGACAATTGATACTACAATGTTCAATTCTGTAATTACCATGTTATTTTATTGAACAAATATAATTTACAAATTTTTTGTCATTTTGAATAAATGGAAAATTAACGTTCTGTAAAATAAATTTTTTTTAATTCAATTTTAATTATATAAAATAAAATTTTGGTTTTAGGATTGTTCAGTTTTATAAACTTTAGAAAGTTAATAAGATATTTACTATATTGATAAAAAAAGCAATCATATTTACATATAAAATTATTTTATATACTTTCTAAATTTGAATCAGCGAAATCTCGCTGATTCTCAGCTATAAGTATACCACTGATTCCAATCAGCGTATATGCACTGATAAATTAGTGAAAATTCACTGATTTTTCAGCGTATATACGCTAATTGGTAACAGTGGTATACTTATCGCTGATTCAAATTTAGAGAGTATCATCATTATAAAGTGTATGTATCGAAATTAAGTGAAATAGTAAAAAAAAAATTTGAAAAAAATTAGTAAATATAAGGTAATAAAAAAATTTAACATTAACAATGTATATACAAAGAAACTGTTGAACTGTTTGTTAATAAATAATAACAAAAAAATGTATTATTAGCATCATTTTTAAAATACATATAATTTTCCATTTATTCAAAATGACAAAAAATTTGTAAATTATATTTGTTCAATAAAATAACATGGTAATTACAGAATTGAACATTGTAGTATTAATTGTCAACAAACTTTAATTCTGAATAGGCAATAATAATAATAATAATAATAATAAAGAAATTTATACTTTAATGTGAAAATCTAATTATATTTCATGCACGGAACAGCTGTCTGTACGAATAGCGTTAGGACTTACTTGCGCGTCGACCGCGCTTTCTTAAAAGTTGAATAATTTTTAAAGTTTTCAATGAATTGGTTTAATATTTTACAGAAAACTTCCTTATATAGTGATAAACAAATGTCTCACTGGAAGTTTTCTAAACTACAAAGTTCCCCGCAGACTTTTTGTCGATGAAAGTAAGAAAACGTTATTATCAACTGGTCACAATTTTTATTAAAAAAAATTTAAACAATTAATGATTTTTTAATTTTTCATTATTTTGTCGCCTTTAGTAGACCCTATTACGTGTACATCTCAAATTTGAATCAAATTCATTAATAATTGTCGGAGATACGATGATTTATGTTTTAAAACTTAATTAAATTTAACAATTTAAATTTCTCAGTTTTTGGTCTCTAGAAACTAAAATATTCGTTTTATAAAAAAATTTCAAAGGAAAAAAAGATGCGCCTTTTAATTTCCTATAATGTAGTACTTTTCAAAATTCAAAATTTTTAATTTCAATTTTCATCACTTTTTCAAATGTTTGACTGGCTCTACGGAGTCCATCCGAGCGGAGAGCGAGTTTTACTTTCCAGCTCCTCATATACTAATGGAACGAGAATCGAAAGATTTTTTTCGATAATAATTTTGACACGTCAACTAATACTGATCATTTGCAACGTGAATTCTGAATAGTCAATATTTTATTTTTGCAAGTCGACATTTACACAATAAGCTAACGAGGGGTCCATCAGCCTTTTCTCGCGCAGCATGTTCATTGACATGCCCCTCAAACACACGATCTTGCGGGTGTGTGAGTTTGTATGTAATTATATTGTACACAATTCCTGAACTTTCGATCCTTGACGACCATAAATCTTGGAGACCTCAACGCCAATCATCTTATTCTTTTCGTCTGTCCGCTATTTCTCTCTCCCTCAATCAAACAAATTGCCAACGCGACGTGTGAAAATCTCTATACATATGTGTACCAAAAAATTATTATTATCATTTTTTTATATAAATGGAAAATATATACAGTTTTTACAATGAGGTTAATAAATTTTTTTATAATAAATCCTATCATTAAGGCCCAAAAAATACTAACAAAAAAATTTTAACACATCTTATATATTTATTAATTGTTTGTATGATACAATTGAATTTAAATTATTGATAAATACGAAGTAAAGTTGTGTCTCAATAACTGAGGTTTGAGTGTATTACATATTAATAAATGTAATTTTTATGTATAATTTTAAAATTCTTCACAAATGTAAAGTTTTTCTTTTTATACGTTAATAATAGACAAAAAAAATAATCGATGATAATTATTTTTGTTTTAGGCATGGCTGGAGGAATGGGTCAACCAGGAATGAGTTCGTATTATGGACCAGCAGCGTATGGTTCTCTTTCGGCAGCAAGTATGGCAGCCGCTGCTGCTGCAGCAGCACAACAATCTGCTGCAGCAATGTCAGGATTGGGAGCACCTTCTCAGGTGAGTTTTCAGAAAAACCAAATTGATTATTATTCGAAAATTTTTATAATATTGAAGAAATAAAAGATTTAAAGTATAATAAATTAAAATCAATTAGATTCTATACCGAGCATAATAATTTAAAATTTTTTTAAGATTTACACTGTAAAAAGAAAGTACTAAAACAGTACCGATTTTAGGTATCAAAATAGAAACAAATAACAATTTAGTAACTGAAGTCGGTATTAAATTAATACCTTTCTTTTTACAGTGATAATTTAAAAAACATTGTTGTTAACGTTAAAGGCACTATAGTGGCTTTCCGTCAGTTTCAAGGTTAAAATTTGAAGGATATTTTAAGAAAATCGATCTTTATTAACAATGGCAGCTGGGAGAAGATCCTTAATAAATAAGCTTAGTCTTAGTTACGTAAATTTATTTCAACAAAGCTTATATCTAACGGGAAATAAATATAGCTTTATATCTTTCCGTTTTTCGCAAGACAAAAAGTGACTCAGTAAAAGACATCCTTTATTTTACACATGAAAGAAAGCCTGATAAATATAATTATCTGCGTGTCATCATCATGTAGTTTTCACGAATACAAAAACATATATACTTCTCGTCCGGATACATCACAACCTGCTATATACTATACGTTTTCGCTTTGTCTCTTCTGATATAAATTTATTTATCATGTGAATCATCATTTCATATAAAATGAAATAATTGAAAAATTAATTTTCTTATGGTAAAAATGTAAAATATAGTTTTAAGTAAAAAAAAAAAACTCCTTAAATGTTACTATAGAAGTTTCAATTTCTAGAGAATTAAATATTTAATTTTATACCGAATTATATAAAATCTTTTCTCAACAAAAAAATATGCGCAGAAACACTTGAATTTATATCAAAATAAACGAATAAAAAAATTAAAACTTTTAAAAATTACTCTCTAAATTTGATAGCAAAAAGTCAATCACTGATTCAAATAGTAATATTACTACTAATTTTTTAATTAAAAATAACTAATTATTGAATTCAATTTTACGTTATGTAAAAATAACTAAAATTTCTGGTAATTTATTCAATATTAGTCAAATTTGACTATATATGTTCAGTTATTTTTCCAACTGAAAATTAGTAACTTCTTACTAATTTTAATAATATGAAACTAATAATTAGTTTTTTTTTACTAATTGCTGAAGCAAATTTTTGGTTCAAACAAAAATTTTTTTCTGAGTGTGCGGTTAATTTAACTGCACCGAATCATTGATTAAATAAATTATATATATATATATATATATATATATAACCGTTTTGACTAATTTTTCTTTAGTTAAAAATAATTAATTGTTAGTTTAAAACTACTATAATTCACTTAATAAGGCTACTATTTCAATTAGTAAACTATAATAAATTCACTGTTAATTTGAATAGTTATGAAGTTGCTAACGAACAATGAAAAAAAATTTATTTCATTTAAATAATCGATTACTTGACTACTATCAAATAAATATTTACTTGAACCAATTAATTTTTATTTGCATTAAATAAACTGTATTTGGACCAATAATTTCTCTATTTGAAACAAATACAATTTAATTGACTCAAATAAAAATTATTTAATACAAATAAATATTTATTTGATAATAAGTCAAGTAACCAATATTAAAAAAAAAAAAAATTCAATCAAGTAATACCAATTTTTGAATCAAAACATAATTTGATTCAATTCGGTATCAACTGTATACCTTTAAGTAAACAGTGCTTAATTATTAGTTTTCTACTAACAAATTAGTCATTTTTTGACAAAAAATTAGTCAAAAGTATAACTATATTTCAAATTTAGAGTATATTTTAAATTTCGAGACACTAGAAATTTGAGAAATCATAATTTTGAAGAAAAATGCTATCTGCCTACTTTCTTTTTTTTTAATATATATAAATACTTGGTGAGTTAAAAATAATGAGGAGATACTTCTTTTAAGAAAATAAAAGAAATATATTTATTTCGTATTCTCGTCATTGAAACGAGTCTGTTGTCACTGGTATTGTTCGCCTATATATATATATGTGGCGTGACATATATATTAAAGGTGCGAAAAAAATTCCATGCATCTGGCATCATCGGTTTCCGAAACAAAACTTAATTAACGGACAACTCAACCTGACAGTCGAAGACACAATGAAATCACCCCCGGCCTGCTGCGTTTTCGTCCACAAAGCATATATATATATATATATATGTGACAGTCCCCGAGAGAAGGGACCTTAGCTCACCAGAGGTCAATATTGAGTTTTATATGGTAAATGATAGATTTTGAATTGCTTTTTCACATGCAAAAGTCAAAAACTGATTAGGATAATTGCTTTTGACACAATAACATTTTGAAGATGGGTATGTCAAGCGCATTTCGAGGCGGATTGTGGCACTCAAGAAATCAGCCCCACTACTTTACTTACACAACTATACTCTCGCGAACGTGAGCTTCGCGTACGTGAGACCCGAAGATACATGAAGTAGACGAAGCTCACGTATACAGAAACACAACGTTGTGTTAGTGTGGTGGGGGGACTTTTCAGAAGTTCCGCCCCACTCTTCGAGTTCCGCGTTTCTGCTTCTTCTTCAAACGCTTGCCCTGTGAAATTCGTTTTGGTGAGCTAAGGTCCCTTCTCTCGGGGACTGTCACATATATATATATATATGTCCATACTACGTATTGTGATGTCGGTCCCAGAGAATGCATTTTGCATTCGTATATTTGCACCGCGCGCGAATAGCATCTCTCCGTAAATATTTCCTTTTATTTCCTCGCCACTGTTTCATTTTAAACATTAATAATTATTTTTCTTTAATGTTAATTAATCCGAAAATTTTTAAACTATATTTTGTTTTTTTTTTTCATAATCATCTTTATCAATTTCATCATTTTCTCTTTTTTTTACGGGCTTCTTTGTGTGCGGTGGCAAAATTCGCAGAAAAAAGTCAAAACCACAAATTAAATTCACAGCAGTGAGCGAATACAAAAAAAATTCCTTAAGACAGGTCGACGCGAGATTTTGGCTGGTTGTGCGCGAGAACCCAAGGAATATAATCAATTGGCAAGAAAAGAAGGGAACGATGACCGAAGGAGGCTAAGACTTGTTGTGTAAATCATTGGGACAAAGCCGCTTAACGATCCGACAAAGGGTATATATATATATACGCAACCTCGCCGCACGAATTATAGAATTAGGAATATGCGTCGTTTTGTTGTTTTCTGTATTGAAAAAAATTTATGGCCATTGGCACCTTTATCCGGAGATATCTGATCGTGATGCAGAATCAGCATCTTGATTTTTTTTTTTTTATTTCTCTTATAAGCGTCAGACCGCGACCAGATTCGTTACTCTCGAAAGAACTAGAGAATAAGAGAGAGAGAGAGAGAAACTTTGAAGAGATCCTCAGAAGCTTAGAATCGACCTTCGTTTATAATTAACTGCGTGACCAACAGAGTTCGGTAGCCGACGGGATCGCAGCATGGGGCAAGTTAATTATCGCGATAAAAGGTTTGCAGGTGTTGCCCGGAAGTCCTAATATCCATCTATAGAGATTACAATAGTTTTTTTTTTTTTTATCTCAATATAGGTGCGTACCGGATTTGTTACTTTTTCCCTGATAGTATATATATATAGCACAACAGATAGAATCTATTGAATAATGTATTATAACAATTTCATCAACGTGTCACTTGCAACGATCTCTCTATTGTTGTTTCAGGTCGTGAGCTCCATGGACGCAATGAAGTACTCAATGGAGGCGGACAAGTACCGAGCCTATATGCCACCAAGTACACTTGCCATGAGTATGTACTCGGATCCAAAATATTTAGACTCGAGTCCCAAGTCATATCTTGATAGAAGTTATTTGGATTCGGCGAAGGCATACTTTGAACAATCAAAATTATATATGGATCAAAAGCCAAGTATTTCGGAATATAATCGTCCAAGCTATGAACCGAACAAACTTTATGAGGAATCAAGTCCTGGCGGTGGTGGAGGTGGTTCAATGAGTAGATCACCAACTGCCGATTCACCTGATAATAATAAACAACAAACAGATGGAAGAACGGATCAGGGCTCTTCAAGTGCAAGTTCAACGTCAAATTCATCAGCGGCAAGTCCTGGTGCTAATAGTTTACCAGCATATTATCCTGGTCCTGTTCAAGCTGGTGGACTTTTGGCACCACAAATGGGACAATATTCTGGCTATCAAACATCACCAGCGGCTCCTGGAAATGAATTCCGTCGACCATTAACCGTCATCTTCTGACCCGATAGAGTTTAGCTTTGATCTCTTTTTGCCGAACATCATCAATCGGTGTACCAATTTTAAATGTGTACGCCTATATATATATAGCCAATTTTCGGGCTTCCGCTTTTTTGGTCTTGAATATTTTTCTTTTTTATCTTTTTTCTTTTAAATAATATATAAATAGTTTGTTTTTTTTTTAGTTATCATATATACAAATATTTATATATTTATATTGGTTCAAGTTTTCAAATTTCTTTATGCATTGAAATAATTAAAATAATTTTTATCTCTCAATATCGGTGGAACTTTTTATTATTGCAATGAGAAAAAGAAAATTTACTTGAGTCAAATAATCTATTACTTGGCTATTATCAAATAAATTATTTTTACTAAATATAATTTTTATTTGAATCATATAAATATTTTTTTCACTGTATATAATTGAATACAGTGAAAAAATAGAAAATCTAAGTGAATATTCATTACTTTGGTTTACAATTAAATATTAAAGAAGTATAAAATATTCATCTAATTTTCACCCACAAGACCAGGTGTTCAATAAAAATTTTTTCTACTAATACTACTACACAGGAGGTTATATATTTTTCAAGCTGATGTAAGTTGTCAATTTATTTCAATATAAACTAGAGAAATATTTTTTTACTCAAAGCATATAAAATTTTTATTTAAAACAAATATGCCTTATCTCTGATTGTACATTTTTCAGATATTTTGAATTAATTACAAATTATTTGAAATATTTTACTATAAATAAAAAATTTATTATACTATAATAATATTTTAATAAAAAAAGTATAATATTATAGCAGATATATGGCAAAAAATTGATTTGAGTCAATTAAATGCTATATTTATTTCACATTTGTTAAGTAATCGATTTATTTGAATTAAATAAAAATTGTTTTTCAATCGATAATTTTATTCGTTACATATTATATTCGTTTCAATATTAATTGCAAAGAATTAATAATATTCAATATAAGCATCAATTATTCTATCTGAATAATAACGTTTAGAAAGGATTGCCATATTATGAAACGAAAGTTTCATCCTTGGATGTCTTTTGAATGCTTTTAAAACAAAATGATTGTTTTTAAGTGCTTCATATACAAGTTGATATAAACATCTATTTTGTTATTGACGTTATAAAATTTAATTAAAAATTTATACTTTCTGAATTATATAAACGTAACTTTCTTAAAGAATACACGTGAGCCATTATTAATTTTATTATTTCTCTTAATTGAATCTTTTCAAAAGTACACTATTATTAAAATAGGTTTTTGCTAAAAATTCATATTTTTTGTTTAGTTTTTTGTTTAATTTTTCTGAATTAAGTTTGAAAAGTTCTAAATAAGTTTTAAAAAAACGTTATCTAAATAAAAAACTGTAGATAAAAATTTCCCCTAATAAAAGACGATGATAAATAGTTAAAATTATAAAAATATTCCAACTTGATTATTAAAATAAATTCAATATATTTTATTTTTTTAAATACCAATATTAATAAGAAATATTTAAGTATATTTGATTTTTTTAAACCCTATTTATACAATGAAAAAAAAAAATTTATTTGATTCAAATAATTAGTTACTTGAATATTATCAAATAATTATTATTTGAGTCAATTATATGGTATATTTGTTTCAAATACAAAAATTATTGGTTCAAATACAATTTATTTAAATTAAATAAAAATTATTTAGTTCAAGTAAATATTTATTTGATAAATAGTCAAATATGTAAACGATTATTTGAATCAAATAAATATTGTTTTTTCAGTTTAATTGTATTAGCGAAGAAAAATTTTAAAGTGGAAACAATGAAAAAGAAAAAAGAAATTTTCGCAACGAAAATAATTTGTGATAATATTCGAAACAATTTTTTTATTATTAAAAAAGAAATTTTTTTATAACATTCAAGACCACAGCGATTCTAAAGCCTTTTTGAGACTTATGAATTTTATTTCCTCAGGATGGGGGGAAATTGGTAAAAGTCCATGATCTGTGTTAAAAGTATTATATATAAAAAAAAATGTACATAGTTCTTATGTAAATAGTATCAATCTCGTGTTCCGTATTTCAAAGGATATGTAAAAATAAAGTTGCATCCCTTGATTAAAAGCTCGAGTTAATGCTACTGAGACCACAGATAATGATTATATCTTTTCTCACAAAAAAAATACAATTTTTGTTAAATTAAAATAACAAAGCAAATTAAAAAATTATTATTATTTTTTAGATTGTTCTTAGAAAATATTTTTCGTTTAAAATTATTGCTGTTAAACTTTTGTTGTTTTAAAGAAATAAAAACAATTTATGCTTAAAAAAAATTTTTTGTATGCAAAAATTGATAGCGAAGCTGTTATGTTTATAGAAATTGAAAAAGTGATATTTAGTATTATGTAACATAACAGTGTTTTTTTTTTTTTTTATTTTTTTATTTATTCAATTTGATTATAGAAAAGAATCCTTTTCTGTGGTATAAGTTGTCACATCGTTGTAAATAGATCATAATTAATTATTTCTTACAATTAGTTTCTTTATTAAAAGTGCGTCCTATGAAGGAAAGGACGAAAATTTCGTACTCGGCCTGGTACTTTTCATCTTTCTCATCGCGGCCTGTAGTTGTGTGCCACGCCAAAGAGTGCAATAGAGTTTACAATTTTTGTCGAATAAAGATAAAAAAAAAAGAAAATTAAAAAAAAAAAACAAAAGAACACGGTATATAGTGTCTGTGAACGCAATGTACAATCCCACGACAGTTTGCTTTCGTATAAATAACGTGTGTACTAGCTGCTGTGGAATTTCCCAAAGTACTTTGTCGATTTTTAAAGAGAATCTTAAAAAAGAGAAGAAATCGAAAATAATAAACATTTTTTTATTATTATTTCGAACCTTTGCTTTTTTTTCGTTTTATTTTTTTCCTTTCATGGATTTTTCTTTTTTTTTTTACAAAACTATTTTTTTTCTTTCCATTTTTTACTTTTTTTTATTTTATTTTAATTTCTTTTTTAAAATTTTGTTTCACATTTTTTTTTTCGCAAAATTTTTGCATTTTGATATTTTTTAGTTTTGCTTGTTTATATGAATTTTTTAAACGAAAAGTTGTTGGATTTTAGTTGTAGAAAAAAAAAAAAATAATTTATGAATAAAATTTCAATTTTATCGATTCTTCTCTGATTTTACTATATATATTTAATAAGTCGACATCAGAATCAAAAAAGATCCCAAATTTGCTGCGCAAAAAATCTGGGTACTTTATCTCACACATTCCGTACGGCATGTATAATCTTTGTATTTCTATTGTTATGATAAATATTATAACTACTGGTTATTATCATATTCTGAACAAGAGAAAATAATCTATAAATATTGTATTGTACGTGGAGATAAACAATAAAGTTAAAAAATTATCCTTCGAAATTTGTGTCTTCATTTCTTTTTTTTTTTTTATTATTATTATTTCCCTATTTTTCAACGAATAATCTTTTTTTTTTTCTTACGACATATCAGTGTCACAATTGTTCTTGAAAATGTCAAGAATATATATATATTTTTGAATTTAAAAAAAAAAAATATGACTGACGAGAAAAATATTGACCCACTGAATCAAAGTCACTTGATGACACCATCATCTTTTCTTATGTGATTCAAAAAGAAACCACTTTTTTTATTATAAATTTTCTTTTCATATTCTTTCAAGCATCAACTGCTGTGCAGGTCAATCATTTTTCTTTAAAAAAAAATGACAATGTACGGATACAATTTCAAAAAAGTACGGCAATTGGGTCTCAAAAAAAAAGCCATTGTCCTTTATAAGATCCTTCGACGCCATTAAACTGAATGCGGGTCAAACAATGGAGGTTACTTTGTTCAAATTTAGTAAGGCTAGTCTCATTCGATCCTGGGATGAATTCAAGGTGAAAAGGTCGCACCTATAATATATATGAGAGTAGCTCCTTCCGTCTTTGCTGAAAACAAAAGCATCGAATTCTATTCGTCAAAATAGATGCTATATTCTGGAAAAAAAAAATGTGTCAGTGTCGAAATCCGACCCTCGGGCGCGCGGTGACACAAAAACCTTTAAGCTTCCAAGGTGTCTTTTGTAAAAATGGAAGCAGCTGCTATCGCGAGCCATTTGGATTCTGAAGCATCTCCGCACTGAGTTTTACACCTTACGTTCGCATCGGTAAACATCGTATACACTCTGATGCTTTATTACAAAAATGGGAACTTGCTTGCTTGGACTGTGAGGACGACCAACCACTGTATTCCCATTGACACCGATCTTATTCACACTTTTGTGAAAGTGCAATCAATCGTGAATATTTCTCAACCAAAGCTAACGTTCTAAATCCCATCATCTTGATTATAAATATACAATATCTTTTATCAATGTTTTTTTTTATCACCAAATAAATGCCACTGAGAATTCCTCAATTTTTATTAACTGTATACACAATCTCATTATATATTGATGACTCTTTTAGAAAAAAAAAAATGTTTTTTTATTGTTTGTAGACTGGATAGATTTTAAATCATGCAAGCAGTCAAATGGTTAATTAACTTTACAATAAAAAAAGATTTTTCTACTTGAAAAAAAACACGTATTTTTGGGATGCAGAAATATTTTATAAATTAATTTTTAGAATTTTTATTTTTCGAATTATTATTTTGCAGAATTTTCATATTAAACTGATAAAGAATTTTTATATAACCGAAAATTAATTTCACAGAATTTTCTCTTTAAATCGGAATCAGTATAGAAATACTATTTCAATCAGTACTTTTCATTTTAACTGAAGTTTCAGTTATTTTTTGAAATTTACTAATATATAATTAATTAATATGCAAGCAATAGAAAATAACTTATGTAAATCAGTAATTTGAATATAATATAACCTTTAAAATTAACTATTAAATCTGTAGATTTTGCTGCCGCCGCTATATATTTATATTACTGATTCAATCAATCATTGATATTTTACTAATTGAATCAGTAAATTTCAACTAATTATCAGTTGCTCAATTCTCGCTATGGCAATTAGTATAGATTTCTACTGCTAATCAGTGAAATATAACTGATTCAGATTTAGAGAGTTTATTTGATATTTGTAATTTCGGACAAATAAAAATTCTATTATTTAGAAATTCTGTTGTTAATTAATTTTTTTTAAATATCTAAATAACATAAGCTTTTAGTTTAATAAGTCTTCAATTGACTTTATACAATACAAATGTCAAATTTTCTATAACAAAGGTGTTTTGACTCCAATCGCGCCGCAATTAGTTTGGAAAGATTCCCCGGAAAGTGCTCCCTGGAAGTTCTATCAGAATTCCGCCGGAACTTCCAACGTAATTCCGTCGGAGTTCCAAACAATTTCCAATGGGATTCCGACGGAATCCTGACGAAATTCCGATTAATTTTTTCAAAATTTTTAGAGTCCTAATTCCGTAGGAATCCCATCGGAAATTCTTTGGAACTTCGATGAAATTCCGACGGAATTACGTTGAAAGTTCCGGCGGAATTCTGATAGAACCTCCAGGGGGCACATTCCGGGGAATCTTTTCAAGTGGGTACCCTATTTCTTGTCGCTAAAATCGTAAAATATCTATAAAAATTAAACAAAAATTTTACGAAATTTAAAAAAAAATGTATTTCTTTAATTTTTAAGTAAAAGAACATATATTTATATAGTTAAAAAAAATGATTTCGTTATTTATTTAAACGCAGAGAACTTTAGGCAAATAAAAAATTAAATATTATATATATATATAATTTCAAAAGTATACTAAATAAATATTATTTTCTTACACTTGATGTTTTTTGTAAGCTAAAAAAAAATATTACGATTCTTGAGTCAGCTGATGAATATAATATAAAAAATTTAATGACAATGGAGCAATAAGAAGTCTCACAGAATATAAAGATCAATTTTAATAATATGAAGATCAAAGAAAGATAACTTAAGTGTGCCGCGTATATGTATTATGAAATATACCTTTAGGCTTAAAAAATATATTCATACTCTCTTCTATTTCATGATTCGCATCGCAGGTACTCGAAATAATTAATTAATCAAAAAAAAAAAAAAAAAATTTCAACTCATGACATAAAGTTCAGCAAACATTCAGCTCGTTAATGTCGTTAATTTGTTACGGTATAAGATGTCACACACCTCGTCATTCTGTCGGTCTTTCGTAGAATTCATCTGCTCTCACAGTAAAAGAGTTTAAAAAGGAGAGAGAGAGAGAGAGAGAGACAAATAAGTCGAAGGATGACGTTACGAAGGGTGACTTAGTACTTTTTGCGCGAGGCACGAAATAAATAAGTAGGTACACTCTTGTGAACGCGAATGGATGAGAGGTAAAAAAAAGGACACACACCAACACCTAACGATAATAAAGCGACCGCTTAAGAACGGTGATTATACTATTACCAACTTACGTATATATACGTCCTTTCAACTTGACAAACACAATTTTCATCGTCATTATCCTCTCGAGAGTTGTCCCTCTCTTTTGTTTCTGATCTTTGTCAACTTTTTTTTTCATGTCACCAAAACCAATGTGAAATTGTTTTATAAATACATATATGTGAGTTATAAAACGAAAAAATGGAAAATTATTTCTTTAAAAGGAAATTTATTATTAAAAATAATTTCGCTCTATAAGCAATTATTTATTTTTTCGAATAATATAAAAGGTATATCTATTTAAAAAAAATATAAAAATCAATATAAAAAAAAAAACAAAATTGATTAAAACCATCAGGAAAACAGGAATTGATATACTGAAAAAAAACCCGAAATAGAAATAAAGAAATTCTGAAAAAAATATATGCGCATATTTACTGTGAATTTGTAACACTGAAAAACCAAAGAAGAAGTTATTGTCTAATTCTGAATAAAATTGCATTTTTATTTGATCCTCTTAAAAAAAAAAAAATGATGATGATGATGATAATAATAATAAGCGAAAAATATAATCAGGTCCTTGTTAAGCGTATGCGAATTGTATATAATTATATACATATATACAGTGGACCCCTGGGGGGAATTTAGAGGAGAGATACGAGACATTAAAGGATTCGGTAGGAGGTTGGACCAGAGTAAGAGAAGGTGGCCAAGATTCGGGCTACCTTCTCATTAAATCCATTATTCGGAGTGAACGGCGATGAATTCGGGATGTGGACCCGTCATCGCTTAGACAGATCGTTTAGTTGGAATCTAAATCATTTCCAGCATCCGCCAAACCTTCCTCTCTCTATATAGATATATATATATATATATATATATATATATATATATACGCATATAAATGTGAAACCAAGTCCTCACGACTTCATTAACACCTTACGATGCCCGCTGACTCTGGAATGCGACCTCAAGATTTTCAGACATCCTGCTCCCAAATATTTAATCTAGTCCACATATATATATATATATATATATATTTAGATTTCTACTTCTCAATCTTTCAAATTTTTTAGACTAAAACTAACATTTTTTCTTCTATATATAATTTTATTCACAAATATTATTTCAACACATGAGAATTACGGCATAAATTTTGTGGAATTTTTTTTTCACTATTCTATTTTCCTCTAATTTTCTTCTATTTCGCAGAAAATAATAATTATTTTGTCTTAAAATTTTTAATCGTAATATTATAATGATTTTATAGAATTAATGAATTCTTTAGAATTCCAATTTAATGGAATTTCCATTAAATTTATTAAGCCGAATTTTTATTTATTAAAATTTTTAATTAAACTAATTAGGATTTTATAGATCATTTCTATTTAGAATTACTGTTATATAGGCAAATTTTCACTAACAAAACTTCCATTTGCATTAAAATTCACTAAATATATACTTCTCATTTTATAGATTTTTTGTTAAAAGAATTTTTAATTAGCCAAATCTGACCTCAAATTTGGATTCAGCGACCCCAAAAACCCCCGAGTATACCGAATTTTGAACGAATCGAATCAATTAAAAAAAAATTCCGCCATATTGGGTCCGCCATTTTGAATTTTTTTAATTCTGACCTCAAATTCGGATTCAGATTTCAATTTGAACAATTATTATTTAGGAGAAATCTCATTTAATTAAATTTTCATTTAATTTAATTGATTTCAATTTCTATGAATCATGAATTATTGTTATATGAGCAAGTTTAATTTAATTTTATTTTTTCTAAAATTCATTTGTTTGAAATTAAATTTTCATAAATTAATCATTAGATAGAATTCTTAAAATACTAAATTTTCAATTGACAGAAATTTCTTTTGTCCAAATAAACAAACGCTAATTTTAAACAAACTATCTACCAAAATTGAGAATGCAGCATTTTGAGAATTCTATAAAATAGAAATTGTGGGAAAAAATGTTTGAATAGATACAGATTAAGTGAGATACCTATAATTTAAAAATTCGATTAAATATATAGAAATATTGTTACATTAAAAAGTACTTAAATGAAAAATTATATTCAATGGAGATTCGTCTAAATAAAAATTCTGTTTTATACAGAGCCTGGCTACACCGAAAGCCAACCAGGAGCATTAAATTTGATGCTCAGGCTTATTAAACGAGTAGATTATATTCGCGTCTGCGCAGAATGTTTATGTAGATCTGCGAACATGGTTGCGATAGTGACAGGTTAGAAAAGTTCGCTGGCTTTGTCGACCACGTGATCGCCTTTTCTAACCTGTCCATATCGCAACCATGGTCGCAGATGTACACAAACATTCTGCGCAGACGCGAATATAATCTACTCGTTTAATACGCCTGAGCATCAAATTTAATTCTCTCCTGGTTGGCTCTCGGTGTAGCCAGGCTCATAGTTCGTGAAAATTCAGTTTAATATTAATTAATTTTGATCTATTAAAAAAAAAAAAAAGAAAAACTAATTTCTGGGTAATATCCACGTGGATTAAAATTTTTTTTTACCAAAAAAATGTTTAAAAAATAAGAAAAATCTAATAATAAAAAAAATTATAAATGTAAAACGTTTAAAAAAATTTTGCATTTAATTTTTTTTAAATAAAACTAAATTCTACGAATTGGAAAACAAAAATTATTTACCTCGTGTTATGAAATATTACGAGAGTGGAATGAATATTAATATAAATGATGAGAAAAATTAGAATAAGAATGATCAATAATAAGCTATTGAATTGGGAATATATTGAAACGTGTGTATGTCGCGCGGATATGAGTCGAAAAACAAGAGGGTCTCGCTCTCTCTCACTCTTGAATTTTATCAACAAACGATCTTAGGTTGAGTATACATGGTATTACTGTGGGATGTTTGCAAAATGATTATTTTGAGTAGCAGGTGCCTGACGATGTTAGCTATCGGTGTTCCAATGTTTATACAAGTCAATCCCTATACCAAACCACACTGCTAGGCAAATATAGTCTTGCGACTGTTTGGTACATATATTATATTCTCCAATACCCGTTATATCGTTATAATATTGTACCTGTCAAGTCGTATATATAACGTTCACCTATAATAAGGTTTTAGTTCGAACCTCGCACACGATTAACGTCACATATATATTCGGATAATAACAATCGTTAACTAAACATAATACTTAAAACGGATTAACAAAATTGTTAAAACTGTTTTATTTTGATAAACTAATTCATCAAATTCAATTTCTAGTATATTAAATTACATCCGTAGAAAAAAGTAATCTCACATTGATAGGAAAATTTCTCTATACTGACAGCCGAGAATACATTATATCCTCTCAAAACAAGAGCAAAGCGGTTTTTATTGACTCTCCATTGCTCCTAAAAATATATTTAGAAGTTTAATTTAATAAATAAAAAGTATTCATAATATTTTGATTCTGTTTATTATTATAATGAAATAAGGAATTACAAAAAATTATTGTTTACAACGATTTTCACAACTAATAAAGCAAGAATCAGTAAAATGTATAAAAGTTTTTAATTAAATAAATTAATTTAATCAGTCTAATTAATTTTAATTAATTAATTAAATTTAATAAATTCTATTAAAATTTTAATTAAATGTATTAACAATTTTTAATAATAATTTAATAAGTTTTAAAATAATTTATATATTAAATTTATTTATTTTTATTAATAATAATTTTTTTTTTTAAGAGAAAGCTGACTAAAATAAATATATTTTCATTCATTTAAATTGAACGAATTTTCATTAATTCTTTATAGAGAGTAACTGAAGCATTTAAAACTTTTGCAATTTCAGTAAAATCTTTGTTCTCTGATATTGAGAATACTTTTTTCCACATATGTAACTAAAAAAAATTGATATTTTATATCACATACCGATCACAGAGCCTTCAAGGACCACTTTGTAGATTCTTACCTGTAAAAAAAAACAGAAAAATTAAAACATTATTATCAATATTCAATTAACCCTTTAACGCCCAAATGAGCTCCCAGGTAGAAAAATTAACATTACTAACGTTACTAATGTTACTAACGTTAGTACCTATAAAAAAAATTAAGAAAATGTTTCTAAATTGTATTTTTGCAGAAACTTTGCCTTTCTAATTCTCATTCCCATTTTCACTTCCACTTTTTATAATTTTCATGCCTATTTTCACTTTCACTTTTTTATTTACATTACCACTTTCACTTCCACTTTTTCTAATTCTCATTCGCACTTCCATTCCCACTTCCACTCTTTCTAATCCTCATTTCCACTTTCACTTCCACTTTTTCTAATTTTCATTCCCATTTTCACATTTTTATTTTCATTACCACTTCCACTTCCACTTTTTCTAATTTTTATTCCCACTTCCTTTTTTCTAATTTTCATTCCCACTTCTACTCCCATTTTTTCCACTTCTAATTTTCATTAGCTGTTGCCATTTCGACTAAAACTCTTTCTAATTTCTATTTACCTAACCATTTCCATTTTTTTTTAATTACCATGGATGGAAATTAGAAAAAGTGGCAGTAGTAATGAATATAAAAAAGTGAAAGTGGAAATGGGAATAAAAATTAGACAAAGTTGAAGTGAAGTGGGAATGAGAATTAGAAATAGTAGAAGTGAGAATGGAAATGCGAATGAGAATTAGAAAAAATTTAAGTGAAAGTGAAAGTGGTAATGGGAAAGTAGTGGCAAAGTTTCTGTGAAAATATATTTTAGAAACTCTTAATTTTTTAATAGGTACTAACGTTAGTAACATTAGTAACGTTAGTAACGTTAATTTTTTCACCTGGGCTGATTCTCGACTTGAATTTCAACCTCGTACCATTAACAAAAAAAAAATTTTTTAAATATCAGACAAATCATTCCCGACTGCATTTTTATCGCTCTTTCAAATTGCGTAGTCAAAATTTTCAAAAAATAATATTTAACTCCCCTTTTTTTCAAAAACACCCAAAAAATACAAGTTTTTGTCATGTAAAATTTTTTTCAATTGCAATTCTTTCCAGTATATCATTTTTTGCTTATTCTTTAAGATATAAAAAACGTGCTCCCGATAGCTGTACTTTAAAAATATGCATTGCAACTTTTTATTTTTCTTTAGTTTTAACTCAAAATGGCGCCTGAAAGTCAAATATTTTTCAAAAATAATGTTTGTAAATTTCTTTTTTTCAAATTCGCCTGAAATTTGTTACTCGGGGGTTTTCAGGGTCGCTGATTACGAATCTGATGTCAGTTTTCAAAAATTCAAAATGGCAGATCCAATATGGCGGACGATTTTTGCAAAAAAATTATCGGCTTCTCTTGAAACTCGTTACTCGGGGGTTTTCGGGGTCGCTAATTACAAATCCGATGTCAGTTTTCAAAAATTCAAAATGGGGGACGATTTTTGCAAAAAATTATCGGATTCTTTTCAAACTCGTCACTTGGAGGTTTTCGGGGTCGCTGATTACGAATATGCACTTGGTTTTCAAAAATTAATAATGGTGATTTTAGTTTAGTATATTTTATACTTTTGTAATAAACAATATTGGCATTTAGGGCAGTACAGTACATTTCGATAATAAGGTCGAACCGAACAAGTTTGTCGCACATATTTATATTGCTTGTTAAAAGATAAATTTATAGTTTTTGTCATAATAATTTGTTATTACTTTTACACCATGCCACCCAAAAGAAGATCAGATTCTATGCCTAATCAATCAATTCCTTCTAAAACTTCTCGCAATAAGTCCAATGATTCGTTTATTCTAAACACTCGTCGCACAAGGTCAATGGCAATCGAAATTGAAGAAATGGAAAATTTTGTTAATGCTAACATTATTCCATCTGCTGATGATTCTGGTGAATCTTATAGTGATGATGATTCCATAAATGAAAATGATGATTCTGAATCTGATTTTTCTGAGATTCAAGATGATCGACCCGAAAACCCCCGAGTAACGAGTTTCAAGAGAATCCGATAATTTTTTGCAAAAATCGTCCGCCATATTGGATCCGCCATTTTGAATTTTTGAAAAGCAAGTGCATATTCGTAATCAGCGACCCCGAAAACCCCCGAGTAACAAATTTCAGGCAAATTTAAGCGAATTTGAAAAAAAGAAATTTACAAACATTATTTTTGAAAAATATTTGACATTCAGGCGCCATTTTGAGTTAAAACTAAAAAAAAATAAAAAGTTGCAATTCATATTTTTAAAGTACAGCTATCGGGAGCACGTTTTTTATATCTTAAAGAATAAGCAAAAAATGATATACTGGAAAGAATTGCAATTGAAAAAAATTTTACATGACAAAAACTTGTATTTTTTGGGTGTTTTTGAAAAAAAGGGGAGTTAAATATTATTTTTTGAAAATTTTGACCACGCAATTTGAAAGAGCGATAAAAAAGCAGTCGGAAATGATTTGTCTGATATTTTTAAAAAATTTTTTCTGTTAATAGTACGAGGTTGAAATTCAAGTCGAGAATCAGCTCATTTGGGCGTTAAAGGGTTAATATTATATTTATTTATTATTATATTTATCATATATAATAATACATAAAAAAATTCTGAAAAGTTTTTAAAAATTTAATTTCTCAATTTATTCAAAGAAAAAAAATTTATTTTAAATTAAGAAAATTAAAAAACTTTATGCTTATTTCTTATCGCTAAAATGAAAATGATATGAATTAACAGAGTGGCTGCATTATATTCCGAGTTTATTGTAATTCAAAGAAAGACGAGAGTTTGATTATATATATATATATATATATAGAGAGAGAGAGAGAGAGAGAGAGAAGAGAAAAGAGGGAATATTTGTCCACGTTCTCCATCTCCCAAGTCATTTATCCCCTTTGCATTCAATTTCTTACAATCGAACCCCATCGTAAATCTCCACGTGATTTGCTAATCACGCGTACCTACCGCACTTGACTATTAATTCGTGTGCGGTTATATATATATATGCTTCGAACCAGGATTACAAGCGCCACTTGGCGACGAATTCTGAATATGCGCGACCCTGTTGAAATCGTATGGGTGTCCTTTATTAGCATTCAATAATCCATCGGTTAATTCTCATACACCCACGCACAATTTCTGTCGAGTGAGTTTCAAGATTATTCCTATGATGACTCCCTCAAAGCGTCGTGTTTTCAAATATTCAAAAACAGAAGAAAAAAAATCTCCATTTATATAAACTTATTAAAAGATAAATCTTAATTTCAATAAATTCTTTAATTTAATTATCAATTTTTGATAATGAAAATAATATTTTATTATCTTCTTATATTTATATAGTAAAAGTTAGACTAAAAACTTTTTATCAACCAGAGAAAAAAATCTGACCTCAAATTTGGATATAGAGACCCCGAAAACCCCCGAGTACAGAATTTTTAACGAATTGAATCCATTTGAAAATTTTCTGCCATATTGGATCGCCATATTAGGTCCGCCATTTTGAATTTTTTAAATCTGACTTTAAATTTGGATTCAGCGATTGCAAAAGCCCTAAAGGAACCATTTTCATGCAAATCTGATGGTGAATTAAAATTTTTTTTTGGACGCCAGATAATTCAGTCAAATATAAATTCACTTTAATGAAAATTTGGCTAAATTAAACTTATGGTAAATAGAAATTACATTAATTGGCCACATTATAATTCGTTTACATAATATTTCTAGTTGATAAAAATTCAGCTAAATTAAAAATCTATTTAACATAAAGTTCTATAAAATAAGATAAGTTTGTTCCAGCAACAAAATTTTGGTTGTCCCAATCAAACTTTAATTGTCACAACCAAACTTTGGTTAAGACAACGAAAATCTTTTATTTTTCTTATTTGGTTGTGCCAAGTAAAGTTTGAATGAGACAACAAAAAATTTGAATAATATTAAACAAAATTTTCTGATGTTGGCAACTCAAACCTTTTTTCTCAGTGTCAGCTAAATAATAATTTGTTCAAATAAAAATTTTTTTTCAAGAAACATTTGACGATTAAGAGAATCTGCTATATAAAATTTATTGCAAAATTAAAATTTAATTAAATTAAAAATGTGCGGTCAAATAAATTTTGTCATAATAAATAAAAATTTTTTTTCATTATTTGAATAAATTAAAATTCGATATAAATTTTGTTTAAAGAGAAATTCGACTTTAATATAATTTCGAAGGTCTGAGAATTTAAACTAATTTAATTTTTTAATTTTGTTAAGGATTATGAAAAAATATTAAGGCAGTTTCCTTTGAAAAATCCCTGGAAATTGGGTCAAATGTAATTTTTTTTTAATGAAAGACGCGAGAGAAACCCCGCACATATAAGGAATGTGTACCTATACTTAGGCTAAATTTCAGCGAGGATAATACGCATCTCTCTCTCTCTCTCTCTGATACTGAGCCAAAACCGGCAAAGGCTCTGGCAGTTTCGGTATGTAAATTAGCCGCGGTTCCATTCACGCCTGTACACCTGGTGTTGGCCTCCCGCTGTCCAGTTGGATGCTCATACGTGGATGCCTTTCTCAACGTGTATATAGCTCCATAACTCATAACTCGTGTGGTCTCTCAACCTGCGAAGGCCAAACTCTCGTTTTTTGCCGCATACAACAATTCAGGAGACGCGTTATCGCATCAAGGTGCAATCATTATTATTACAGGTCTCTATAAACGTCACATACCTCAACCTATCAAACTTTTCTTCAACTTGAAATATAATATAAGCATCCATTAATAATAATAATAATCTAATACCTTTATTTTCTAATACATGCATAATAATTAATATTAAAAAATGGCAATAAATATAACTAAATTATCAATTTTATTTTTTGTAGTCGATCAACTGTTTCTAATCTGCGATATGAAAATAGTTCTAAAATCAAATTCCGAAGCATCAAACATGAATAGTTTAAATTTCTCACAAGCCTTTTATGAACACTTCACATATACATTTA